AGCAGATCGTATTTGTCAAATTGAAATCGTTTGTGGCAACGATCAAACTGATAGTTTACAGACTAATCTTAACTTTGCAATATAGTAGATTTCAGTGTTGACACATCATTCGGCCTGTCATGGCGTGAATCTTTCTTTCAGTAATGAGTTGATTATCGAGTGGTCCTACCGTTAGATCCAATGCCACAAACGATTTCAATTTGACAAATACGATCTGCTATGTTAGAAGGATTGAGTGTGGGTGCGGAATGTCGATATTGGGTGCATGAGCGCATGATTTCTTCACAGTCGTAGCCAGTCACATCCTTTTAGAAAATCAACGATAATGAATTAGTGGGTGTGAGTGTGGGGTGTGGGGGTGGGGTGTGGGTGTGGGTGTGGGTGTGAGTGTGAGTGTGGGTGTGGGTGTGGGTGGCTGTGGCTGTGAATTCAGGTCTTCTCACAACCCACACCCTCTCACAACCCACACCCACTCCCACCCCCACACCCCACCCACACATCCACACCAACCCCCATCCCCACCCACAGCCACACACCCACACCCACAGCCACGCTCACACCCACACCCACACCCTCTTTTCATTCTAATAAATAGATTGAGTGTGTAACTAAAACATAGAAAACGTTAGATACTCAGATAAATATGATATATTCCGAACAAAAATATCTCTTGTTAGTAGACAGTGCGTATGGATTTTGAAATTTTAAAAACCATGAATCAGTTATGTACTATCACTAGATAGACTGGATCAGCAACTTTAGACAGTAAGAAAGTGTCGGATTAATTGTTACAGAAGGGTTCTGAATTTATTTCCAAAATATTTGAGAAGAAATATCGAATAAATGTTCTAAATTCGAATTTTTAATGTTGTGCTTTTGCTGATGGTCAAGTAAACGTACGAGGGGCTAGATTATCTCGAATGTCGTCGTAATGGTTGCTGTTGACGAAGCGCGGAAGACGATGATGGCTTCGCTCGTGGTTCGCGACGATGTTGTTGCTGTTGCGATCTTCTTGCATTAACTGTAGAAGATGCCGCTGATGTTTGTGGTGGAGAGTTGTAAGGATATCTTTGTGATCGTTGGCTCACTGTACATGATGCCGGAGGCTCTGGGCGTACTTCTGGAGTTACTATTTGAGCTATATAAGATAAAAGGGATGATGCCTGTGGTCGTGATTCTTTAGTTTTTTCCTTGTTTGTTATCGGCGAGGATATTTTAGGTGCTGATGATTGTAGTTGTCGTTCTTGATATGATTGCTTTTGTAAAATTGGACGAAATCCTGAAGATGATGATGACGGCAGCTGTTGTAGTCGATGCTGTATTGACGGATAACAGTCAGAAACAGACGGTACTTGCTGAAATCGTTGCAACATATCGTGACTATTCTGGGAGCCCAACAGTTCAGGAATTGGTTTAGATACAAACTAGGTGAAAAATTTTGGAATATATGAGTAAAGAAAAGTCAAACGAGGAAGAGAAACAATGAGCTAAGTCTCTAAAATAATCTTTAGAAAATTTTTATTTGTGAATACCATGCAAACATTCCTATGACAGGAGGAAGCAGATTTTCGAAATGGGACGCAGCAGATTTCAACTCAATGAAAGTAGGGGAAGAGTTCCATCTTATAAAGTTTTAACATTTTGTCCTGTTACAAACTTTATTGGTCGAGAAACCACTTTCGATCCTAGGTGGGTTTAGTTGAATCTTGTTTTGTTCCAGATCAATCATTGGTACAGATCGAATTTTGATCATCGGAATTGGTGGCATCTGATCATCAGACATCACTCGTAGGTCCAATGGCTTCTGAAATTTTTGACGAATGTTTTCCATGCTCTCATTCCATCGTATAAAATCGATTTCTGAAAAATCTTCCTTTTCCCGACTTGAGTAAAGCTGTTTAGTAACATTATTCATCAATATCTGTAATTGATCATGTGAATCTTGAAGCCTCTTGTGCAAATCAAGTCGAACTGACAAGGCCACCTTTTCAATTTGAACAATTGAGTTTTTTTCCCACTGATCGATCTCAAGAGATAGTGGATGATCTGTAGACTTTTCGCTTATATCGCGCTGAAGCAAATCATGATCTTGTCCAATCATATCCATTTGGCGAGAAAGATCTTGTCGATGTTCTTCAGTGTGCTTCCAACAAAAAGATTGTCCGCATCCATGACACATGAATATTCCACCACTTTTATTACCACATTTGCTGCACAGTTTATTTTTCTCAATGCCTCCACTAGCCATTCTGAATAAAAATACAAAATTAATAACTAATATTTTTCTCTTGAATTATTGCACACCCTTTCGCAATTCAACGTCTTTCGTTCTTGGTTTCACGTGTTCGTCTTGAAAGCTACAAAGGCAAAACATAAAAATATGTCATCGACAACGCACACCTCGGGTGTTTTTCTTACCAACTGACTTTTTTCTTATCCAGAAAAGAGTGTTTTTTCTGTTCTGCTTTCATCATTTAGTTTTATTCCATTGGAGCAGAATGTTAATGTCGCGCTTAGGGATGTCATTTACCGTTTAATCTAAAACAAATATAGATTATGAGTAATTTATATTTATTATAAATGTAAATTTTTTTTTTTCACAATTTATATTTATTTTAAATATAATTTTTTTTCTTTTCGTAAGTTATCGAATATAAATTAGAATAAATTATCATATTTCTCTACGATACTTTACATAAAAAAGATATCCTTTTCTTAATATTATATTTATGTGAAATTTATTTGTTATGCTATCTTTTCATTCAATTAATAGTTCTTAATTTGCGAAAAGATCCCACCACTTATCGTGATGAGTTTTTCAAAAAAGAGTCAAATCAGATTTTACAGTCTAGGAAAATAGAAAATGCTGCAATTGTCAATGAAAAGTTTACAACATTTTGGGGTGTGGGTGTGGGTGTGGGTGGGCATGGGTGTGGGTGTGGGTGTCAATGTTAGTTTGGATGAACAGGATCCATCCACATTCACCACCGCACCCCACACCCACACCCCCCCACACCCCCCCCTACTCACAGTCCCCTTTCGAGAATAAGAGCAAATCGACTAAAAACAGCTTCACGGAAAAAGCGAGCATTGCT